GACTAGAATAGAATGTGTTTAATTTAAACGTTTATTTATTTTATTTAGTCTTTTGTTGTGTCGTTTTAAAGGTGTTTTCAAATCACTTTTAAGTCCATGACTGTGTTTTAAGATAAAAATTATGTTTTACGAAAGTTTAAATAAAGTATTTCTGCATTCAATGTTCATGTTATGTATACAGTGTCAACCTTAAATTAAGTAGAAAATTTCGGACGGTAAACGTTTTAGTTCTGCATTCAATATAATTTCTATTAAAAAAATATAAAACGTGTTAATAAATTCATTTATATTTCCTAAACAAAAGTAGAATTTCTAAAAACTCAAACTTCAATAATATGACATTATTCTACACGCATACACAGAAAGTTAACACGATGAAGATTTGACGAGTTGGAGAGGGGAAAGAAAATATAATCTTCGTTCCCATTTAGCTAACCAGAAAGAATCTCTACTCGATAGCTCTTCCATTCTCACCATATTTGAAGTAGGTCACAACGAGTTAAATAAACATCTCCGATTGAGGTGTTCTTATTGTTGGATGATGAAAGTCGCACGTCGGCTAATTTAGGAAACGATCATGAGTTTCTAATCAAGGAATACTATTCCCACTAGAATGAGACATTTTAGGAAGCCCAAAGTAAAACCATGAGAGCTTAAAGCTTAAGCTCAAAGTGGACAATATCATACCATTATGGAGAGTCGTGTTCATCTAACATGGTATCAGAGGATCATTTCTCTACCCTTGTTTAATTCATGTTGAAGCATATACTCGAGAGAGGGGAGGGGGGCAGGGCAGACAATTTCAAAGCAGACTCTCATTCATTAGATAGAGAAGATCGCCACGGTTTCGTGATCCGCTACCGAACTTATTCCTTCCAATTCAACGAGCATTCTCAACATTATGCTTTCAACGAGCTCTTTAGTACAAGATTTTGAATCTCGAGTGTCTACCATTTCACCACCAAGGCATCTTGAGAGTGAATCATATTCTATCTATCTAGTGTGATGTATGGAATATAAGGCAACAGTGGAATGTTAGAGTATTTCTATTGCTCGATCATGTCATATAGGTTCGAGTCGAACATCCAATTGCTTCGATTTGAGGATGCCTTACTATTACATAAAAAAGATGGACAATCAAACCTATTTCTCGATCAATCACCTCTCTTCTAAAAAAATAAAAATAAATAAAAATATCCATTTAATATAATATCTAAAATTTAGGATAATTCCAACGTAAACATGATTGATGAACCAAATGATTTTTAATAATAATAATTAATAATAATAAATAAATAAATAAATAAATAAATAAAACAATGCCTTACAAGGCTTCCGTTGATTCCAAGGCTCCGTGTTCTTATCTCGCCACGTGGCAAGCCACGTTGACGCTTATTGCGGGTGTACGAAGTTCCACCTGCACCGAATGTTTTCCCCAGGTGGTTGGGTGGTGGATTTTTTTTTCCTCTTTTAAGACGTTGCGTTTCAAGACGTTTCCACTATCACAACAAAATTGCTCCTTTGACGTGGATATTAAGGATGAATAAATATCAATAAAAAAAATAATAAATAGTTACTTTTATTTATTTATTTATTTATTTATTTTTATATGTTTTCTCTTATAAATATTTTGTCAATAAAAATTTAAATATCATTCTTCCATTTTTTTATAAATGTGAGACATCGAACAAAAATTGTAGTAATCTCGTGAGATCCATTTTGAACGAGGTGGAGATTTCACGAAAAATGGAAGAGATAGTGGGGAACATTTTTTCCTCTATTAAATAAATGGGATGAGATTATATTCTCCGTCCTTGTCCCTATCTAATTCTCCACTTTGCCTCACTCTACTTGGAGCGGGAGAGGATTTCCCTGGGAGGGAGTGAAAACATACATTTTTTCCTTCATTAGATAAATGGGGTCGAAGATGGAATTATATTCTCCGTCCTTGTCCTATCCAATTCTTCACTCTGCCTCACCGTGCTCCGAATGGGGGAAGATTTCCCATTTAGACGAAAAATAGGGAGGAGTGAGAGTATGGGGTCGGGATGAGATTATATTTTATGTCTCTGTCTCCACCGAATCCTGAGTCCCATTTAATATAATATAAATATATAATTTTTCAAATATAATGACCAGATATTTATATTTAAAAAAAATAATTTTAAAATTAAAATAAAAAAATTATTTTTAGACTCTAATTACAATATTATAATCTTTTGTAATTTTTTTTAATTGTTAAATGATACTGTTGTAATATTAAATTTTAAATTTTTTAAAAATTAATTTATTAGGATTTTTTTTTCAATTTTTAATAAATATTATATTGAAAAACGAAAACTTTTAAATACCTATTTCTTTTAAAAAACAATAATAATAAATCGAAAAAATAAATGAAAAATTTCTCTGTTTGTACTTCAGACTTTTATTTGATTCTTTTGTTATAATAATAATAATAAATATATATTTATGGAATACAACTTAACATAAAAATTATCCTCTGAATCGATCCCATCTTACAATCTAATTGAGACAAAAATGTCAAAGCTATCTCTTCTTACTACTTTTATTCCATTCATATCCGAAACCCCTATAATCAGGTCGGTGGAATCACATTTCGCCACGTGGCAAAAGAATCAGTCGTGCTTACGAAATTACTGTACAAACGACTTTAGGTGATCCAACCACGAAGTTTCCTCCTAATTTCGCATTGTTCGGCAAGTGTCTAAATCGTATACCAATTAATTTATTTACATTCAGGACCTTATACTTCTATTTATTTCCATAATCGGCCCTACTTTTCTTCGGGTTTTTTGTTGGTCACCGTCACAATCGGCCGGAATCTCACAGGCCAATGAATTCTTTTTTATTTTTATTTTATGAAGTTAATAAAATCCACATAATTTTATTTAATTTTGACTTTTATTTTCAGTGGCAGCCATTATTTTGTTTTTAAAGGTGGGCTTGAAAAAATATTAGAAAATATGGAAAACTTTCATATTTGTTGGATTATCATAATTATTATTTATTATAATTATTAATTAATTAATTAATTAATTAATTAAGCATGAAAGAAAAATTATGCCAAGGATAATTTTGTAATTTCACTTTTGAAGAGTGGGTCATTATTTACTTTAAAGACTTTAAATTTCCTTCAAATAAATTTTAATGCGAGTAAATATAATTTATAATTAACTAGTAGAATCAAATAAAAAAAAATATGTTATTTATTTCAATGAATTTTATTCTAAATTGTAGTACACGTATTGGATTAATTGAGTTGGTTATTTTAAGTTAGTTGGGCCGGTGATCTGAACAACCTGAATAAAGTTCAAAACTTAACACAACCTTCTATTTTCGAGTTGGATTGGATTGGATTGTCGGGTTGTTTTTTTTAATTATTTAAAATAATTCTACTTATCTACAGTACATGTTCATTCATAACTAAAATATTATAAAGGTCAAATATTTAACATTTGGGAGTCACAACTCAATTATAAACATATGATAGAATTAGATTGAATTGTAACCTTATTTTCGAGCGGGTCAGATTGGTCGAGATGACCAAATAGAAACAAAAGTCAACTCATAGACCGAATCAAAATTTATAATAATGTATTTAATTTCCTACAAATGCATGACCCATAACCACAATATTAATTTGACAAATGTTGTTGGATTAATTAATTAATTAATTAATTTACTTTTGAAATTATTTTGACTAAAACGCACAACACCCCTTTGTTTTATTTTATAATTTTATAATTTTATTATTTTGAATTAAATTTCTTTGTTATATTTAACTAATAAAAAAATTCAATAATATTTTTAAATTAAAAAAAAAAAAAACTAAACGAAAATAATAGACTCATTGACCATAATTTATTCTCGTAGTTACGAGAAAATGTGTACATCCAGTTAAAAAGTTTGATCTTATCTTAACGGATATAAATATATAGGATTATATATATATGAATGATGTTATCTTATTTTCGGGTTGGTCAGGTTGGTCGGATTGACCCAATAAAAAGAAATGGAACTTTTTGAAATAAAAAATTCAACCCAACCAATTCAGCCTTAGTTAAGTTGGATAGTTTGAGTTGATCAGGTTATTTGTTCTGTTGGATGATGAAAGTTCCACATCGGTTAATTTAGGGAATGATCATGGGTTTATAATCTAAGAATACACTCTCCATTGGTACGAGGCCTTTTGGGAAGCCCAAAGCAAAGCCATGAGAGCTTATGCTCAAAGTAGACAATATCATACCATTGTGGAGAGTCGTGTTCGTCTAACATGGTATTAGAGTCATGCCCTAAACTTAGCCGTGCCAATAGATTGGCAAATCCTCAAATGTCGAACAAAGGACTCCAAAAAGGAGTCAAGCCTCCTTGAAGGTACGAAGGCAGAGTCCCACATCGGGACAATATCATACCATTGTGGAGAGTCGTGTAAGAAATGTCAATCCGAGAACCAACTCATTCAACGCAACCCAACCTGGGTTGGGTTGGATAGTTCCGAGTTATTTAAATACTCGTATTTTTAGAAAATGATAATTCGAAAATTAATATATTTTAATCTCATAAATGTAAAAGAAAAGGAAAAAGGCGATCTCTATTGTCAAATGAGAATGTTCCACATTCGAACATAAATACCGTACAGCTGTATGTAAAATATAAATAAATAAAACAATTTATTATAAAATTAATAATGGAAAAAAATACAATGATTCGTTTTCTTTTTTTGTATATACAATTAAAAATTAAAAATTAAAAAGAAAAATACAATAATTCTATAAATACCATTATTCAAATTTTGCTATTAATTATAAAATACGTGTGGGTCCCACAATAGAATTTATTATTATTATTATTATTATTTTTGAAACAGTAAAATTTATTATTATTTTAATTATTTTTCTCGCCTCCTTAATTGTCCATCCATGTCCCAATTTTCTCCACCTTCGCTTACATCTCTTCTTTCCTTTCCCCCTTTTTCGCTTCAATATAAATTCCCCTTTCTCTCTCTCTCTCTCTCTCTCTCTCTTCGTCACTTTGAACTCTTCTGGACTCTGCAACCCGTCTCCCAGCCATACCCATTCTTCTATGCTTCTTCTTTGATTTCTTCACGCCCAATTAATTGCATCCGAAGTAACAACAAGGTCTCTCTCTCTCTCTCTCTCTCTATCTTGATCTTTGATTGATTTTGAAGAAATATCCACATCTTTGTACCCGTTGATTGCTTTTATGGGAAGTAATTTACTCCATTTCCTTCAATTCTTCTTTTTTTTTTTTTTTTTTTTTAATATTTCTTGGCTCTGAGGCTGCTGCGTCGGATTTGGTTTTCATGATTATCCGGTGGATTTTTAGTTAGTTGGTTGATGTTCAATTACGAAAGCGAATTAGTGTTTCTTTTCTTAAATTTTCTCGGTATGCTTTCTGATGATATAGTGTTGTGTTGGTGGGGGTGGAATTTCTTGTGTTTCTTGGGAATTTGACTCACCTTCTTGATTTTTTTTTCTTGGTGAAGAATTATAGTTGGAGATCTACGTATTGTTTTTTTTTATAACACAGATTCTTGGCTGCTTCAGTGTTATTTGGTACTCCGAATCATACTATTTGATCGGTATCAAATTTCTTTAAATAGCCTGATTGGATTGTGGATGTTGGAGCATTTTGAATATTTGTTTTCTGCATGCAATATTTTAGAGGCTTTTGGTTCAGGGCTTGTAATGAATTGTCTATCGTAATTACTGATTAGTTTACAATCACTTAAATGTGGTTTCCATGTACTGACAATGATGTTGTTTTTCCTAGGATTGGTGTAGGAGAGGCTGTTCTGGAGTGAAATTACTGGAGTTTGGTGTGTGGTATGTGCCATTATTGTGGTGCTGTGATAACAGATTCAGAGGGCAAAAGGTTGGGGAATGGTAATTCGTTTGATTTAGATGATTCTGGCACCGTGTGTATATGTAGAGTTTGCAAAGAGAACCAGGAGCTAGAAGCAATGAATCTGGATAATAAAAGTTCGAGTGAAGCGTTGATGTTAAGTCCAATGCCTTCGCTGTCGAGCTGCGATAGTTGGGTTTCTAGCTAATTATACTTCTTTCAAGTGTTTCCATACTTTTTTTTCCACCCTGAATCTCGGTTCTCATGATTTAATGCCTTTATCTTTTCTTTCATATCAGGTGATTGTTCAACAGTGGCAAATTTAGATATCAAGTAAGATAGCTTACTAAAAGAAATTTTTTTAGTCAACTACCACAACTTTTCTTGACGTCATTGCATACATTTTGTTTTGTTAGGGATGGTCAAGAAGGTACAACAAGAAGTAGCCAAGACAGCATCGATTGTAGGCAAGAAAGGATGTCACAGAACTGGAGCGAAGTAGTTCATAGCAACGGTCAGCTCAGTGGAAGAGATGATGAAAGTGTAATCACAATTAGCCAAGAGGCAACACACAACGGCTCTGGTGTTCGTGTCAATGCGGAAATTGAGCAATCCCATTCTAATTGGTTGGATACTGATCTGTGGGATCCTCCAGAGCCAGAGGACCCACAGGATCACGTGGAGGGTGGGATGGGTTATGATGACGACGATGACGACGAGTTTGATGACAGCACAGAATGGAACACGTCAAGTTCCTTTAGTCGCTCTGTCGATGAGGCCAGTATCAGCTATAGGATTAAAGAGCAAAAACAAAGGGCAATGCAACAGATTATGAATGGGAAGTTCAAGGTGTTCATTGGTCATCTTCTTAAATTCGTAGGCGTTGCCTCATCAGGGGAGGGTAGTGAAAATTGGGTGGATATAGTTTCTTCTTTGTCCTGGGAAGCTGCCACATTTTTGAAGCCTGTAGTAAATGGTAAAGCGGTGGATCCAGAAGCTCATGTGAAAGTAAAGTGCATTGCAACAGGAACTCGCAGCCAAAGGTAACTTTGAAAACTACCTTGAAGTTTTGAGCATGTAATTTACTAAACTATGTTATGTTATGTTGTCTGCAAACTTAATATAGAGAGGTATTTATCCCTTAACCATAATTTTGATGTCTCTACTGCATCAGCCAATGCTTTGTGACTTCCTTGTTGGTATATACATACCTATTGGTTCGTTTAAACTTTTATAAACTATGCTATTTCATACAAGTTCTCATTCAAATTGGGTGTTGTAGACAATCTCATTCTTTATTCGTTTTTAATTAAAAGCTTATGTTACATATAACACGAACAAATGGATTCAAAAGCCTGTCTAGGAGCGTATTTCCTTTCCCTTAATTCTTCTTATTCTTCTCATTTGAAGTGACGGCATGAACAAGTGAAACATGTGAGAGTGAGTGGAGCACGAACCCTTGGGTGTGTGTGTGTTTTTCTCTCTTCCCTATTACATGTTAGTGCAACAGAGTAGGACAGCTTCTTACATAGTTTTTTTCCCCTTACAATTGTAGTCAATTTGTCAAGGGTATGGTATTCAAGAAGCATGCAGCTCACAAGCACATGCCAACACATTGTAAGAACCCAAAGTTAATACTGATTGAAGGCATGCTTGGTGAGGCTCCAATAAGTAGACTGTCTTCATTTAATTCAATGGATCAGGTACTGAATTTAGATGTTTCAGTCTGACTATTCTGTCACTGAGAAATGCACAGGAAAATGATTTTTTACTGTCTGAACACAGGAAAATGATTTTACGAAGCATGTTATAGAGATGATTGAAGTTTGCACCGCAAATGTGATTTTAGTTGAGAAAACTACATCACGAGTTATCCAAGAAGCAATGCTCAAGAAAGGCATGACATTAGTGCTTGATATGAAGCTCCACCGTCTGGAGAGAATAGCTCTTTGTACTGGTTCACCAATTTTGACATCTGAAACTTTAATGAGCCAAAACACCAGACAATGTGATGCTGTTTACTTCGAAAAAATTGTAGAAGAACATGCTGGTCTTTTGGAGGGAGGAAAGAGGCCAACTAAAACTTTAATGTTTATTGAGGGCTGTCCAACACGTTTGGGTTGTACGGTCAGTATATTTTTTCTTATTTAGGCTATCTTTTACTATTATATCATTGAGTTTGAGACAAATTCTTTGATTATCTGTCACCTATACAAATGGATGATGGACGATATACTCTCTCTGATTGGATTTCATATCAAGCTTATTGATTTGATTTGATTTTATTTAAAAATTTTAAAATCTGCTGCAGATTTTGCTGAAAGGAGCTCACAGTGATGAATTGAAGAAGATAAAGGTTGTCGTGCAGATTGCTGTTGTTATGGCATTTCACTTAATGTTAGAGACTTCTTTCCTTGTTGATCAGCGAGCTATGTTTGCAACTATTCCATTTGGTGGAGTACCAGCTACTGTTTCATCCGATCCACAATCACCTTTAGAGCCTTGTAGCCCAAATGCACAAGGGGCTTCTAACGGATCAAACCTGGAGGGGGAACCATATAATGCTGCCATATTTTCTGGACTCTCATCCATTTCTGATTCATTAAAGAGAGTCATGGGAGAAAGTTTTTTCTTAGCTTCTCCCTGTCAGTCGTTTTCTTCTTATTTTGGACATGGAAAAGACCTGAGTGGCTTGGTTGCCAAGTCTGACTCAATTCCCTCTACTCCACCGGAAGCTGATCAATTTGATGTGGAAGTTAGGGGTAGTTCTGATGAAGAGAATTCAATTCATGAACAGTTTGTGCCCCATCAATCAACCTTTGATGAAGGGTTTGGATTCCATGAAACTGCTCCAAACTATTCTGAAGACAAACTGCCGAAGAAGACGCCATTCAATTCTCAGAGTATTTTGGTTTTGATGTCGAGCCGAAATGCTTTGAAGGGAACCATGTGTGAGCAAAGTCATTTTTCACATATTGTGTTCTACAAGAATTTTGATGCTCCTCTCGGGAAATTTTTACAAGAAAATTTACTAAATCAGGTTTGTAATGGAGTCACAACAATGTTACTACTGTTCTTCTATCTTTTTAATTTACTAAGCTGTTGAGAGTCTAGTCATGATAAAGATCAACATTGTTTACGATGGTTCTGACTCGATGTTGGTGAAATTGCAGAAGAACGTCTGCACTGTATGTGGTGAACTGCCGGAAGCTCACTATTACTATTACGCACATTCTCGAAAGCAGCTTTGCATTCAAGTCAAACAGCTTCCAGTCGATAAAGTTTTGCCAGGTGAAACAGAAGGAAAACTTTGGATGTGGAGTCGTTGCAGTAAATGTAAATCTAAGGGAGGACCTTCAAAGTCCACAAAAAGGGTGCTGATCTCCACGGCAGCACGTGGCTTGTCATTCGGAAAGTTTTTGGAGCTTTGTTTCTCTGATTGTACTTTACCTAGTAAATCATCAGTTTGTGGTCATTCATTGTTCGGGGACTTCCTCTACTTCTTCGGGTACGTGTTGTCATTCATTGCTTGCATTTCCTTTTTTCCTGTCCTGAACTCAGTCATCCTTAGCTATTGTTCTTGTGGATTGTAGACTGGGCAATATGGTTGCTATGTTCAGATATACGGAGGTAGCAATATATACTGTCTCTATGCCTCCTCAGAAACTGGAGTTCAACAATTCAATGAGACAAGGTCATCTCATCACAGAAACTGAAAATGTATGTAATCTTATCTATGTTTGTCTGTCAATTCTCAATATATACTTCTCTGCTTTCTAACCAACTGTCAATCTTCTCTGTTCAAGGTTTATGAGAAAGGGATGATACTTTTCACTGAGATTGCGCAGTTTCTGAAGAAGATCATATCCGAACGTAAAAGTTCAACTGTAAACGACTTTTCTTTGTTAGAAGAAATGTTGAACGAAGAAAGATCAGAATTTGAGGTTAGCTTTAACTTTACTTCTTTTGAATTTCTTCTCCCTTTTTGCTTATGAAGAAGTGCATCTCTTATTTTTCTAAGGCATACTTTCCCCTTTCTATTAATTGAATGAAACACAGCTAAATATTCAAAGTTCTCTTACTAAGAAAGGAAACCCGGACTTCCCTTTTCACAAATATCTCAGTCTGAATCGATTGCTCTGGGAGCTGCTACTAGAATCATGTATTTGGGATAAACGCTTGCAATTATTAACATCACTGGGCGTTACAATAAACTCTGGCACCTCTGAAAATGTTGAGCCTGAACCAGTCAGACATGAGGGATTAGAATCAATTGCACAAACTGATGATAGAAACGTTCAGCAAGATGTATCAGTCGATGAAAATGCATTACATTCGAAGGAAATTGCAGTCGAACATTTGGATGGAGAGTCTGATGGTGATGAACTTGGTTTACCTTCGGCGACTGAAGTCACAGAGATACCAATTATGGATGATCTGAGCCCCAAACAACTTTCTCGCCAAGGATCGTTGTTAAATGGCTTCAACCGTCGCCATTCGGATGATGAGGATCCTCAAGCAGGAAGGGTTCTGTCATCTGGTGATATTCCAAGTTCAACTGGTAATTTGACCTCGGACAAATTGTTCTGGACACCATTTTCGGAGATCCAGCAAATGCGCATGAGGGACATCCAGAGAAGTTATTTTCCCGAACTCAAATCCATCAGTAACTATACTCCAAAACTCTTACCCACAGCCCATGAATTCATCAACAAAGAAGGACAGAAGCTACACATTTTTCTTTCAAATGAGAAGTTTATTGTTTCAGATTACGAGGGCGAACTCTCGAGCATAGTTGCTTGTGTACTTGCTTTGTTGAAGGATCTATCCCTTGAAACAGATCTTCATAATGAGGATAGTAAGGGAGAGGGTCTAAATAAAGTTCCCTCCAGTGGATCCTCAGATTCTGATTCGAGCGTCACTTCAGAAGAACATCAGTTCTCAAGTTTTGACAGGTTAAATTTGTTGGATTCTCTTCTCCCAAAGACTTTCAAGCGAGCCGAACATGAAGGGGTCATAAAGTCACTAGCAAAGGGAAAATATCTTGTGAATTGTCCATATTTCAATCAGTTCCGTGATCTTCGTAGACGATGCTGCCCATCTGAGCTCCATTACATAGCTTCCCTAAGCCGTTGTATAAACTGGAATGCAAAAGGCGGGAAGAGCAAATCTTTCTTCGCCAAGACACTTGATGACAGGTTCATTATTAAAGAAATTAAAAGGACCGAATATGAGTCATTTATGAAGTTCGCTCCCGATTATTTCAAGTACATTAATGAATCATTTGACATGGGGAACCAGACCTGCCTCGCTAAAGTTCTTGGAATCTATCAGGTATGATAGACCGAACATTCCGAACATTCATTTTGTCAACATTTTGGTTGTCCTTGTTAACGTTCTTTTTAACAGGTAACAGTGAGAGAGCCCAAGAGTGGAAAAGAGGTGAGGCATGAATTGATGGTCATGGAGAATCTCAGTTTCGGTCGCAACATAATTCGCCAATATGATCTTAAAGGAGCTCTACATGCTCGATACAATCCAGCTACTAACGATTTTGGTGAAGTCCTCTTAGATCAGAACTTTGTGAATGACATGAACTCATCTCCCCTCTATGTTAATAATCAAGCAAAGCGTCGGTTGCAACGGGCAATTTGGAATGATACTGCTTTTCTCAATGTGAGTACAAAACTAATTCATTTATGTTCATTAACAATGATACATTTCTTACAAATTTTCAAACATTTATGTCTCGTTTGATAATCATTTGTTTACCAATAGTTTCATCTTTCGTAAGGAAACATTTGAAGTTTATAAATATTTGCAGTCTATGAATGTTATGGATTATTCTCTGCTTGTCGGGGTCGATGCCAAGAAGAAGGAACTTGTATGTGGGATTATCGATTACCTTAGACAATACACGTGGGATAAGCAACTAGAGACATGGGCGAAATCCTCCCTGAGACCGAAAAATGTTCTGCCCACAGTTGTCTCTCCGAAGGAGTACAAGAGGAGATTTAGAAAGTTCATGTCTGCACACTTCTTGAGTGTCCCAGATAATTGGTGCCAGCAGCAGAATCTCCATGGGCCATGGGGAGCCTGTGGTGGCACCATAGATCATGCTTCTTCCCAGACGAACGCCGAAGAAAATGATCTCTCTTCTTGAAGCCCATAGGGGCAGCAGGGGCTTCTCTGCTCGGTTTCGGTTTAACATTATATATCTATCTATCGAAATGGAAAAAATGAGGTCTTTGACTAAAGTTCATGGCTGCTGCTGCTTCATTATAGTTGCAAGTTCACTGTAGTGTAAATAGATGGTGGGCATGGCAAGGTCATTCATGAATTTGCCCTGATATTCTGCAATTTTTTAGCAAAATTCTAGGGTGGTGAAGTTGTTGTAGGCTCAGGTTGTCCAGTTGAGGGGCAAAAAAGTAATTGTCTAGTAAAAGTGTATAGGTTAAGATTTGTTGATTTTTCTGATAGATTATATCCATTGATGATGTTCATTCATTTTCACAAAGAATCAAATATATAAATATTTTTCTACTTAAACTCTCCTGATGACATTGTCTCGCCTTCTTGGTGACCTATGGATATCATCACTATATTAAAGGGCGGGCGGGGAGACCACGTGCTTAGGCATCTATCGTCGGGGTGCCTCTCTTTGCAAGTAGTCGTGGGTGGGTTGAAATCCATCGAAGCTCTACCTCCTCTGTGTAGTCATCACGTGCGGTCGCTTCATGTATGTGTGTTCGCTTCATGTATGTGTGTTCGCTTCATGTATGTGTGTGATCATGATCTAACATGATACAACAAACTCTACAAATCATTCTTGCATTGCTAGACACATGCATCTATTTGACATCATGCTTACTAGTTACCTACACCTTACTTTCATACTTGATCGTGCAAGATGTTACTCGACTTAGGCTACACGGGCTCAATGACTTATTATTTAGGGAGCAATCTACAAAATCTATTAGCTTAAAACCCCGATGTCAATTTGTAGCTAACTCAACTTTATAGTCACACGATGTTAAGTTACGGGGTCCAAGGTAAAACATTAAAGACAAAAAAAAAAAAAAAAAAAAAAAAAAAAAAAAAAAAAAAAAAAAAAAAAAAAAAAAAAAAACATAA